TGCCAAAGACATCTTCTATTGTGAGAAGAAAAGTCGTCAAAGAAAAAATGAGTCATAGAATTTATTTACTTAAAGTTATATACGGAAGTGACTTCAGTAGCACCATCAACATCTGAAAGTTTCACAGAGTACATTTATCTGTTCCTTCCAGACACAATCAAATAAAATGCTTCCACTGATACTGGAAGAGCATCTGGGTGGAAACCGATGCTTGGAGATATGAGAATAACTACCAAAGTAAAACCAAGCTGATCAGAGATTTAGGGTAGGTTCTCACAGATCAAGGTTTAAGAAAGTCTTCTATTGTGAAACAAATGCTGCTGGATTATTTCTGTATTAATACAGCAATGAAAAGTTCCTCTTATAGCACAGACAGAAGTTGCACACACATTTGGCTGAGTTATTATTAAATAGCTATCAACAGTTGATCAAGCTCTTTATCCAATAAGCACACCAGTACACGTGGAGCACATAGATATATATGCTGACTATACATACAGACATACACACTATTACATATATTTAGTCAACATACATATGGAGGAGACAGGATAAGTCTCTTCTTTCCCCTCTGCTTGATGCACTAACTATCCATAAGCACACCAACAATTGGCTTCAAGGAAAACAATGACCGTTGCCTTTTTATTTGTGTACTATTGAACCCAACAGGCTCACAGAGCTCAGAACTAATTCAGAGAAAACAGCTGCAGAAGGATCACAGCATACAAGTGCAAGAGTGAATTTTCAAAGCAGATTGCCAGAGGAAAAGTGGAAGGATGTCCTGTGCAGCAGGTCTGCAAAGGAACTGCAGGTCTGCAAGAGGGTGAATGGAAGCAGGCTGGTGGAGGCCAAGAGGAGAACATGAAGAGCAAAATGCAATAGAGGAAGAAGGAAACAGATACTTCAGACAGAAAAATGTCTTCTCAATTCTTCTCATCACCTCCAGCCCATTCCTTGTTTATATATCATATACTTACAAAAATAAATATAAAATTGGACTTCTATCTGTAGTATGTGTATTTGAACAAGTTTAGAACTGCCAGAGGTTTTCTCTCCCAGCTGGCACTGGATTATTGAGAGTCCTAAGACACCCCCAAACACCACTGACATTCTCTCAAAACAGCCAAGTTTTTGAGATAATAAACAGTATATACTAAAATTAAATGCTGTGACATCAGTGACAGAAAGCAACAAAGCATGCCTCGGTGTTCAAGTTACTCTTGACCCAGTTATGAATGGATAAAAAAGTGGATTTGGTAATTATTGTGCAACAGAACGTAAAGGAAGAATTTGGTTTCAAGGAACTTCTTTCCCGTCTTGCTTTAGTGCAGAGCACTGTATTTGAAGTTATAGAGGTACTTTTTTCCTTCTTGCCCAAAGGTCAACGGTGAGAGAACAAGCATGAAAGTGATCCAACTCTGTACAGCAGCTGGAACATGAAAATCTTTGAGCTGGTTCAGGACACGTGTCAGATGCTGGTGAGAGAATGACAGCCACAGGATAAAGGGGAAGTCCAAGGGCACAGCTGGCACAGCTGGCATCAGTTGTTAAGATTTCCTAACCTTGCTATCTTATTTCACAGTAGAAAAAACATCTTCTATTCTCTGTAGTCAAAGCCTTGCTTCCAAAAACCTCTGATTCAGTAGCAAGGTTGTTTTCATTAAAACAAAGAAAGTGCACTCTCATCCAGGGAGTTCCCCTGTTAGCAAAATAATGAACGCATGAAAATTATGGAGGAAAGTGAGGAATGAATGACCGAACTGTTGCTTCAAAATATTCTTAAAGAAAATCCTGCTCACATCCCAAATCTGATTTAAACACAAGCAGTGATTTAAAACTGACTTTTTACCAAATGAAATTCCTTTGTCATTAACTATTACTTAAGCAATATTACGGCAGCTCATAGGAAACACATAGGATTTAAACTACTACGAGAACACAGCATGATATAAAAGCCTTTGTACTGCTCTGACTTTTACTGACCTACATGTCAATTTACTCCTCCCTGAGCATTACAACCCCAGGTGAAAAAAATCAAAGTAAGCCTCCTAGAAATAGATAAATGCAGGAGCTGAAGTGGAATGCAGCTGTTACCCTGAAATTCATCAGGAATACAAAAGGTGATCTGCTTAAATCACATTCCTTTCCTGAAAACATACTTAAATTGTTATTCAAAGAAACAGTAACATAATGTTATACGAAACAATACCTGGCAACGCACTGAAATCTTTATTTTGTATATTTTGGTTTTGAGTGAAACATTAATAAAAGTATATCTATCTGAATAAAATGGAGCAGTTTTGTCTGTTGGCTCTTACAGCAGCTAAGGACCCATGTGAAAGAGATGTGGATCCTTTCAGCAGCGGTGCAATGAATTGTTCTGCAGTACTCATTCGTATCTGATTCTAGTAATGCAGTATAAAATGCGTGCTTTAAACATTTGCTACTTTCATTGGGGAAGGTTTTAGAAAAAACAGAAGTGAATATCTTTAATAAAGGTGCTCTCAAATCGCTCCCCGAACACTGAGCCCATAGGTCCTTCAAACCAAGGTACTCAGAAAGTGATTAACACTAATTACTATTTTCTTTTTAAATACCCAGCAAATCCACTTTTCATTCAGCAAGGCAAAATGGCCTCTTCTCTTGTCTCAGAGCACCATCGCTGTAATACAGAGAATTCCTACGATCACTGCTGTCAAACGTGATTCAATTTTAACAATTTTTGTATCGATCTTATTTTTATATAAAGCCTTGACTACACAGATGCATTAGATCGCTGTGATATCTTTGTTAAGAGACCATCAAATGTTTCACAATGGACATTGGTCATTAGTCTCGTTAGATGATTATGCATTTTGGTAGCTGCCTTTTTTTTCCCTTTTTAATTAAAAATACATTCTGTAATTCCATAAAAGACACCCGTATTGTCTGTTAAGCTCTCTGCAAAGACAAAAGTGAATTCTAACACAAAGACCAGATGAAGGAACAGAAACAGAAAAACGATGCGTCCTTGAAAGCAGATAGATACTTATTGGAATTTAAATAAACAGCAGCTCTTCTAGTCAAAGGCAATGACATTTTTTCCCCTGATTTACATGTCATTCTCAGGGCAGCGATGCCCAAACGACTGTACGCGGCCATTCAAACTACAAAGAAAAGGCCAAAGTTTTTTGCTATTCAGATTGTTCCGATTTTCATAATAGCTGCCATGATTCCAAGTTCTTTATGCAGTGCCTGTAGTAGCATCCTATATCCCGTTGCAAACAGAATGCACAACCAAACTTTGGGCTCCAGTCTTTAACAGAAACAACCCGCAACAGAACTAAATAGAGATATACTTACAAGATGCCTCCCAGATTCTCCGAATTTGCTTAAGACAGTCCCTTTGCGTTTGTGCTCGACGTTATAGAGAACAGTTGTAACAAACGTGGTCACGTAGACAGAACTCAAACCATTTTTTAACCCAGGATATACAGCTCTGCCTTGGTACACAAATGACACGAGGCGAATAGGAAAGATACAACTCTGCAAGGGCTCTCGCAAATAGCTATATAGTCGAGACGTATCTATCTTAGGCCAAAGAAAAAAATCCAAATAGAAACCAGCCCCTTTAGCTCTTTACGCCTTTGTTCGCTCTCACAGTAGAAGTGGGGAATCGGGGACATGGTTTAATTTTTCAGAAGCCATCTGAACAACCTCTTCCCAAGCGCTCCCACAAAATTCTTATTTTCCTTGGAAATCCGTAATGGTGGAAGCAGAGAAATAACCCCTGGCTCTGCAATGTATCCCCTGTCCTCCTCCAGCACGCGACTTCTTTTCCAACAGGCTTAAGGCAGATTTCGATAGTCTGAATCGTCCAAGGGTAACCCAAAAAATTTGTTAAAAAAATTAAATATTCGAGTTTGCTTTGCCAGGTTAATTTTCAGTAAAAGACACAGCCTACCAGTCTACAGGAAATTAAAACAAAAATTCCTCAATGTCAGTCGTACATCTCATAGAGAAGGCAGCAGTGCGCGAAAAGCATGTCGTTAAGGATGCCTTACGAAAATGTCCAGTTTTAGTATAAAATATTCCACGCGTGATAAGCGATTCTAATGCTGATTAGTAAAGACTATTTTCTGAATACTCTTCAAACTATGAAACCATCTTAAATTTTTTAATGTTGCCATTTTAGGCCTTTTTCATACAGGCTCTTTGGAAAATACACCATGCCATCCTTACCGAAAAATATATTGAAAAAATGCAGTAAGATTTTTTTTTTTTTAACTGAAAACTAATAAAGATCATTTTCCATGCTGACAGTGCACATTTCATCCAGAAGTTTGAAGAGTCAAATGCTACCCCAGCTGGGGGTTATTCTGCCAAATGGCTTCCAACAGTGACCACAGAGATGGAGGATGGGAGGGGTGCATGCGTGTGTAGGAAAATAAACGTGATGGTAAGCAACCCAAAAGGCACATTGTCTGATCAAATATCTGACATACGTAGCCAAACACACAATGCAAATCTAGAATGCAAAATTGAAACAATAAGACAAGGACAAAAATGAAATAAAGCCATCTGTGAGTTACCTGCAGAGATTTAAAACAAAAAAAGCATACAAATGAAGTAGACATAATTCATATGGATTTGCCCAGGAAGGAGAAAAGGAGGGGTGAATGTGAGGGCTGAGGGGGGAGAAGAACAGATACCTTTTTTCTTAAACAAATCCATCATGAAAGAAAATGAGACAAGATTATAAATAGGCCGAGTTATAGCGCACCATGGGATTTTTAATCTGGCTACCTGTGGTTTTTGCAGTTAAAGCCCTATTCAGTAGTGGGAAGGGAGGGGGGAAGCGGAAAAAAAAAAAAAAAAGGAAGAAAAACAAAATCACGTTTACGTGCCAGTTTCGCAAATGATCACACAGCGTACATCACCAACCATGCTGGAAAACAGGAAACCCCAATTATTAGCATTTTCTAATAAGTGTACATCTTTCAAATGTTATTGATCGTTACCTGCCCGTCTCGCTTCCTGCATTCCTGAGTTTTGCTCTCGTGCTCTGCCATGGCAGCGCGACTCTGCTTCTCCAGCTTCTCGATTTCCCGTTCGTGGTGTCGGACCAGGCAGTCCTTCTCTGCGTTGTGCTGCTGGAATAGGTGCGTCTTCTCCTGTTCATGCTCCAGCTTCAGCTCCACTATCTGATTGGACAGTGAGGAGTACAGTTCATCAATAGAACATCCTTGTCGTCATGACAACTCGTCTACAGCTTAATTTTCCCCTTAATTTCATCAAGTTGGCGATTTTATTTTTACGTCACTATTACCTCACCTTTTAAAAAGCCACCGTTAGCGTGACAGAATTCCTCCAGACAATTCCAACAATGGCGACAACCGAGCAAATCCAGCGCATCCTTAACCAATTTGGTGGTACAAATGTCGGAGCATTTAAAGGAAAAAAAAAAATGGCATTGTCGCGTTCCGCAAACGGTCCCCCCATACCCTGCTGCTGCTCATCCGCGGGGCTGAGGATCCTAAATGGTTAATAGCCAGCCTGCTCGCCCCTTTGCTCAAGTACACAAACGCAACCCCCCCACCCCAGTATTAAATCTTTCAAGGATTTCTTGATGATTTTCCAGAGCGAAAGCTCTTCCTTCAACATCCAACGTTGTGGTGCGTACAGGTTTTGTTTTGTTTTCAGAAAAAAGAAAATTATAAAAAACAAAGCTCTATTATCCCGTTGTCAGCCACGCTACCCCAACATAAACAGATGTATGTGTTCCAGAAGGGCACCTGCTGTGCCGCAAGCCCGCACCAGGGTCTCAGAAGCAGCGCTCTATTCTCAGGATCCTTTCCCAGTCCGCACCACACTGGCTGCTGTGACCTTGGCCAGCCCCAGCCTCTCCCCGCTAGACTGAATGGCAGCCCGAGACCAAGGGCCTGGTTGCCGCAGCTTTGATACTAATCCTCCCCGCCTGCGCACAATGGCACCCTACCTGGCCTGCACACTGGAGCAGCCAGGCGGCCTTTGAAGCAGGTGATGAATAGGGACGGCAGGAAGCCGCTTCCCCACTGAACTCCGGGCCACACAGCTGCTAAGAACAGTCACTTGGATTTTTCTTCAGTTTTGGTGGATTTTGAGGAGAGGGGGGGAAAAAAAAAAAAAAGAAAAAGAAAAAGAAAAGAAAAACGCCCTGATGGAGAAGATGGTGGGTTATGTGCAGCGTGAGAATCCAGCATCAAACAGAAGCTGTCGGGAGGAGCCGGCATCGCAGCGCCCGGCACCTATCTTAAAGCTGCAGCAGGCAATTCCACGCGGGCCGCGGCCCCAGCAGTGCTCTGCCTGTGCCTTCGGGTGCCCCTGGTTGTGGCTTTTGTATAAAATTTGAAGTGAAACAAAACGCAACAACTTCTCTCCAACTATGGATCGGAACAGCGCAACATTTGAAGGCAAAATGTCGTGGGCTCAGCACATACTCCCAAAAACAGCATGAAGGGAACAGAGGTGATGTTCCACAGTTTAACATCTCCATGTTATTTACTGACGCCCCATGGTCTGCCCATCACTGCCTCGTGCTGAGCTCTGCACCTCAGGTTTTTGCCCCATGTTTGTGCACAAAACAGTTTACATTCAGCTGCTGTTGGTGCCCTCAGCACATCTAAACGAAAGTATTCTTGTCCCCTTCAAGTAACTATGAAGGCTTTGTCCTGTTCCTGAAAATCAAGTCTTTCAGACATCAGATCTGATTAAAAAGAGACCAGGCTAACAAAAAAGGTCTTTTTGTTGGAGCTTTTTCTTTTTACCTTGTTGACCACGCTTTCAGCTGGTTGTGCCATGTAAGGTCTGGGGTGAGAAGCTGGGAGAAACGTACATCATTTTCATCTTTTTCAGTTGAAGAAAAGAGAACATTCTGGAAGGAGGCTGGGGCGGATCTGCTTCCTCCACCAGCTGCAGCTCTGTTTGTGCATGGTGGGTTTACCCAATCAAACTAAGCACTTTCACTTAGAAATCACTCCACTTTCAACACGTATATTGAAGTAGCAGAGCATCTGAATTTAAAAAGGGGAAAAGGAGTGAAAAAGAGCAGCGTTACTGCCCACAGAGGGGAGCGCGTGTGGTCCGACGTTGGAACTGAAATGGCAGCAGTGTAAGGTGATGGGTTACCAACAGTCATCAGCAAGTGCAGAGTGTGGAAGAAGCCCTCCCTGCTCAGAGCGTGCAATTGCCCATGGCAGTGCCTGCAAAACTGACCTTCCCTCACAAATCTTAACAATCCACCCACACTCGTGAGCAGAAAATGTGCTTTCCTGTATAAATAACAGCAAGTGAACGAGGAAGTGTTTCACTATGATGGTGAACACTCACTGAACCTTCTTTTCCCTTAAGAACCACCAAAAAAAAACCCCTTGCCAAGAAAAGACAGATGACCATGCTGGTTCACAGCAACAATCCGACTTCTTCATCACAGGAAGCTGCATGAAAACTATATGAAGTCTTCATAAGTCAGTAAGTATTCTGACTCTTCTTTGAGGCAGCACACATCTTTATGCGTAACAAACCACCTTTTAAAATTGCATCATTTTGAGGTCTTTCCGCACCTAAACCTAGATGCTTAGCACTCCAGATGATATTGAGATGTCTACTCATATCTGGAATATGTCTGTAAGACAGAGGTTGAGATGCTGCACATCTCAGCCAAAAGTAATGTGATATTCACAGTGCAACAGCCTCCGTGCCAGGCAGGTGTAAGTGCACCTAACTGCACAGGTACTCCAGAAGAAACCAATGAAGTCCTAGCATAAAACCCTGCTGCTGTTTTGGCTAGGTCAGTTTGTGCACCCAAAGAACAAAGCTCAACAATAAATAGTCTGACAATTGCAGAAGACTTTTTCAGAAACCAAATACTTGTAAGACAATCGACGTCAGCAAATGCGTTTTTAAAGTCCCTCATGTAGACAAGAGCTTCTACTATACAGTTTTTGCTTCTACATCACCCACCAAGTTTAGGCTTTTCAATTTTAGAACAATTTCGACTTGTTCTCAAGAACAAGTATGCCTTTGAAAATCTTTTTACAGTCCCCAAAGGAGTGAAAGGAAATTAGTTAGCTCACAGCCTCTTTGAAAAATGTAGCTGCTACAATAAATATTTGACACCAAAGTATGAAAATACATGTAAATTTATGTCCACAATTCCAGAAATATTATAAGTAACACCTACATAAAATATGGTTTTGCATGGAAGGATGATTTTATTAGCCTTGTTTTGGCATGACTGTATTTCTGAGGGCCTGAGAAGCCACCAGTAAATTATATAAGTCATGCCAAAGAACTGAACTAAAGCTCATTCATTCAGCACACACACAGCACGCCCATTTAACAGCAATTTTATCTTATAAAAATTTAAGAACATTTTCAAACATTTTACTGGGGATTTTATTTCCCATTCCTCCACTGGTAAAACAGGTGTCTTCATTACAGTTATGCAGCTCAAAACCAGCTCTAACCTCTGACCAGCGCACCGCACGACATGCGATCTATCCCCAAACACCAAATGTAGTAAAAGCTAGCGTTTTCTGTCTCCTAAGCCTACACATAAATGTGCGTGTTTCATGAGGATATGGGGATTACCCATCCCTGCACATACACTGCTTCTAAAGTAATCTGATACAACAGACTTGAGGATCGAGTATTAATCATGCTGGGCTCTGGCTTAGCATAACTTTGGGTGGAAAAGAGGAATCTTTACTGCAAAGCAAGGAAGTACACTAGAACTATTTCACAGCAGATTAATTAAATGCATTTTACAAGCAAACTTTTTTTTTTTTGAGATTTCACTATAATTTTGAAAACAAAATATGCCAAAGATAGAAGGACTGTAATGAGCAGAGGGCAGTGAAAAATACCTCAGTGCAGATCCATATGTTACCAGTGAGGCAGCAAACACATTCTGGGCAACGTACATCGCACACACATGGCAATTATACTTTACTTTCTATTTCATTGCAAGTTGCAATAATTTAATTGTTGCAACTGTGTTTCCTGTTACTTTGCAAACTAAGAACCAAGAGAAATTCAATGATGTAAATGAGTCGTTAGCAAAACTGCAGTTTTATTAACCCTTTCCACAGCAGTATGCCTGAGTGGTCTCAGTAGGTGGCGAGACCTGATCAATAAACTTTCATTTACAAAGACCTTCCTGAAGTAATATTTTTTTAAGCATAGGCAGCAAAAGCATCACACAACCCTCTTATCTTCTCAATCAGCCCGCCATGAGTAAATTTATTTTTAAATTGCCAGCATGATGGCACTGAAGTTGCATCCCTGTGAACAAACCACATGTGACACTGACAAACATCAGTAGGTACCCCCTTTGTCTGCCTCAAGAAAGCCAATGAGGTGTGCAAATAGAAACATTTCTTTCAAAGTAATACACCTTGAGTCATGGCAGTTGCCTGCTTGTAGCAGGTTCTGCTGCAGAAATTTACTGTACATTGTCTTTGTTTATCCAAGGACTTTCTTCAAATGCTGACAGCCAACTCCACAAGCACTCGCAGGCTGACTTGTATTTACTGCAGGCATCAATTTATGATCCTGACCTCATGTCCCTCCTCCCACAGCTGACTGTTGACTATCCAGGGAGCTGAGGCTCTTAACTCTGAATCACACACAAGTGAAATGCCTGAAGGAGTCAGTGTAAATACCCATCCATCTGATTAAACGGCTCTGTAAACAGCAATGGTACAGCTATAAGATTTTCACCCACTCTTTTTACTTGAAAGTTAAGTTCATATCCTTTTCCCGATTGTGAGCTTTAGCTACAGCATGAAGTGAAAAGCTGATGACTGAAGAAACTATTCCTCAGATATTCCAAGCAAATGGCATTCATCTGCGTGTTAGGATGGTTGAAAGGATACACTTACGCATCCTGGATTAATTTGTTAAATTTATGCAGCTTGTTGCTGATGACATGAAAAATTTAGAGGCTCTACTGGCATTCTCATTTGGCCTCCATGCAAGAACAGGCTGTATTTCAATTATCTTAGGCTATAGACAAAGAGGAGAAGAACAAAGCCTTCTACAAAGATGGTGTCCTTTCAGCCAAACCAGCATACTAAAAATATTCAGGCACTCACTGCTTGAGGAATACATATTTCAAAAGCATGTCTTTGCAAATGTTTTCTTCATTCAAGTGGATAACAGG